CCCCAAAACCCCAAAACCCCAAAACCCCTCTAAAATTCTTAAATCCTGAAATTATTCCCAATTTCTTCATTCTTAATCGAATTTCTTCGTGAAGCTCTTGGACATTGGCAAGAACTGATCCTTCACATTACCTTGGCTAAACCCTCTAGAGGGCTTAGCCCCTCAGCCTATATTGAAGGTCACCTGGCTAGGCTCCTGTGCCGCCTGGCACAGGTAATCAGCAGCTGAATTAGACTGGTGAAGATGTAACTGGTCCCTACAGGAATGAGAGCAATAAGTACGATTTTTGAGGTGAAATTTGACCAGAATTCAAGTGAGAAGGTGGTTTTGAAGGAAATTTGTGGAACTCTTGTTCAATTTTCTCACTTATACTTGATTTTGAAGTGGATTTGATCCCTTTTAAGCCTTTAGACAGGCTAGGAAGCATTGGAAGGTGCTTTTTGCGTTTGGATTTTAGGACTTTTTGTTTATTTATGGGACATTAGATTTTTACGAAGCTCAGAATGGTTTTTTGATACTGTTATTCTAAATTTTTGGTCTATGAGATTGTTATTGCTGAAGTTCACAAAGATTCTTACAGACTACCGAAGGAGGGTTTTGCATATCTTTAGTAGTTTCAGATTCTTTAATACTCTCAGAATCAATCTTAGTTTCATTTATATCAGGAGTTGATATCGAATGGGACTTTTTTGCTAAATCATTAAGTTTGCAGAGTATACCTAATGATGAGTAATTAACAACTTGAAGCTTTGACCCTAAAGCTGTCCTCAAGGTATCTTTCTTTTTAATTATGTTCTCTGTAATACATTTTGGAATCATCATAAGTCTTCATGAACAAATTGTTTCCTTTAAGTTTCTTCTTCTGAGCAGTTACAAAAGGTGACTAAAATATTTAAAGTAGTTGTATACAGGTTGAAGAGATCTGTTGTAAGATATTTTTAATCTGAATTTATTATCCTCGAACTTTACCTAGTTTCATTACGTCTATCTTGAATTTCTGTAGGGTTAAGGTCAATCTTGTTGACTTTTATTAAATCTATTTGCTTCTTATATTCATCTTGAAATTTTCTTTTATCCCATTTTACCTAAAAAATGTTTCAAAACCCAATACAAAATTACCTCTTCAGCCCCACAATAACTGCTTCCTTTATTCCCAAAATCTTGCTTAATCTCCACACTCTCCTTCCTTTCTTCCAAATTTTCCCTAAAATCATTACCCCAAACTCCCACTCAAATCCCTGTCTCATAGTCCAAAATCCCATTAATTTTGCTTAAAATACCTTATTTCTTCCTTTAGAGGCCATCTAGGCACCAAACTGGTCTTATTCTTCACTCCCTCTAAATCATTCTGTGACTCAAAATTCAGCTTGAAAGACCGAATATCGTGGTCAATCTTAGTCAGGAACAGATTTTTGGAAATCTGTTCCTGAGACAGGAATTTCTGCGAAATTCCTAGCTCAGGTACAGGAATTGAAGATCAGTTCTTGATCTTGTTGTGACTGAGATGGGTGTTTCGCAAGAAATTAGTGGGAATAGAACTGTTGAGAGCTTTTTGAGGCATTTTGGAGGGGATATTTGAGGGATTGAGGAAGGTTTGGGCAATGGATTTGGAGATTTTTGGTGGGGAGAGGGAGTTGGATGGCTTTAGAGGTGTTTTGGGGAGTTCTGAGTATCTGGGGCGGATGACTATGGAAATTGTTATTTGAGAGTTTTTAGAGATTTACCGAGATTATCAGGTAAAGTTCCTCATTTAGGATCATAGAAGTCTGAAGCAGAGTCCATTCTTTCTGTATCCCAACTGTCAGACTCCATTCTACTCATATAAGGGTCTTCCATCTTTTTCTTTCTCTTCTAGAAATTTTTCACATTTCATACCATTAACACCTGACTAATTTTTGACTTATATACATCCATATCATTGGCTATCCTAAGCGAGACTCTTTGTATCCCTTCTGGCTTGCTGGTACGTTTCTCTCTATTACAAATCTAAATTTGGGAAATCCAAACCCCAAGGAGTTAAATAATTCTGTTAAAGTCTTGAAACAGGCGGTTGCCTACCTCAAAAGTTTGTCTTCCTTCTGATCCTCTCTTTGTGGAGGGAACATAACAGAAGAGATTGCTTTAAACTGCTTCTCTTGGTGAACCACTAAGCTCTTAGTCTTAGTCTTCTTCCTGGAATGTCTCTTCCTATTACGGTGCTTTGGCATATAATATTTTTAATAATTCAATAACTTCTTTGTCAGCTGGGGTTTTGGGGTTTTGGGGTTTTGGGGTTTTGGGG